CCAATGAGATCCTTTTCATTTTTTGAGTGTTTAGCCATCTGAAAGCCTTTTTCTCATATCTTATCAGGAATTTACAGGTGTTTACAGAACAAAATCTGAGAGTGAAATATTGCTTTTAACCCCCAATTCTGCCAGAATGGTAGACTAAACTAACCTATACATTTAACTTCATCAAAAAACAAAATAAAAAGTTTGATCATTTGTTTATTTCTTCCCAAAGATTTAAATCTATTGGTCATTCATGAATACTGTCCGAAGGCAGTGTGTTTCTATTTGAAATGTTTCCAAGATGGAGGTCAGAAGACAATAGGTTCCAAACATCTCTACCAAGGAGTTCTTTAAAATCTTTCAAAGTGTATTTAAACAAATAAAATCAATAATTTCCTCTTAATATCTGGTACCCAATGAGATCCAAAAAAAAAAAAAATCTTTCAAGCAACACATTCAAAGTGAAAGAGCCCTAAGCTGAGAGTCCATAAATGAATTTCATTTAATCTGATTCTTATGGTTGGCAACTGAAGTAAAGGAGCGGATATTGCATCACAAGGCCCCGGGGGTGCCGGGTGGGGGGGGTGTTGAGGCTTGTCAGTTAGCTCATGACATCTAATCTCCTCTGTCTCTCAATACAGGGAGATCCATGCTAAGATGTGGGATCACTGGGGACAAGACCCAAGCAATAGTATCCAGAAGCAATGCTGTGGAGGCCAGAAGGGGTTCACCTTAGAGCTTGCCCATAGAGCTGCTGCGTCCCTCAAGAGCATTCTCAAAAACCTGTCAGCTTTCACTTAACCTTCAAGTGTTTGCCTCCTGGTCCAGGCTTATGCCAAAGATAAGCCCCCCCTGATGATGTCAATGAACCTCATCATCCCCAGGTCCATTAGCAAAGTAACCTCCTCAGACTTAACGCTTCCCTGTAATTAGGACTTGCCTGTTCATTTGGGTAACGCCTCCTCGGTTCTCCAACTGTGCACAGAAGTAGATCCTCATCTTTCTCCAGTTACCATTCGGACAATGCCTTGCATTCTCCAGTGACCTTAGGGAAGACCATGTCTCGCACCCATGAGGTGAGAACAGAGACGGACCTGTCTTTGACTTGTATTTTAAATGGAGTGAAGTAAGTATCATAAATGTCCCTATATTAATTACATACACAATGCACACTTTTGTTTTTCCTGAGTGTACTTTTACTGTTACAAAATTACACTGCTTGAAAACTTGCTGTTTGAACTGTCAGTCTCCCACAAACTGCCAGCAGAGTGACTGGCAGGCACAATTGTATGGTTAGTGAAAACACTTGATGTTGTTGGGTAGAGCCCAGTGGAATGAACAGGAGTTTGAGCAACAGCATTTTTATTCTGAAAGCAAAAAGCTTCAGATGACTTCTCTTTCCTGTCAAACTCTGGATGTTTTGGTGCTTTTCTTGTTTTTATTTTTGTCTTGAATTTTGTGCTTTTCTTAGGTACACTGAATGTGAAATAGCGTGGTGTATTTCTTTGGGGATCCAGAATTTTGCTAGGTGATATCAAGGGATGGATGTTTCGGTGACCTTTGCGCAGGCTGCTAAAGAGTAAATTTTCCTTAACTGTGGCAGGAAGTGATTATTTTTTGTTTGTTTGTTTTTGACAAACATGAAGAAAATTGGGCGTTGTTATTTCAACTGTTTCAAGACACTTTTTGTTCTATTTGGCAGGAAAGAGAAATGAATTTCTTGTTGAAGCAATTGCCAGATTTGGTTCATCCCTACATACTGTTTTTAACACTGTAAACATTTTTGCAACCTCAGTCTCCTGGGAACTCTGCACCTCCCCTTGAAGATGTCCTTGATGGAGCTCTTTATTCTCCAGTCTCTCCTGGGATTCTATTTATAGCAAGCCCTGTGTATTAGTCAGCTTTCTATCACCATAACAAAATGCCAGAGGTAATTAACTTATAAAGAACAAATGTTTATTTTGGCTCATGGTTTGGAGGTTCCACTCCAACTTTGGGAGTATCCTTTGCTTTGGGCCTTGATGAAGCAGCACACCATGGTGGAAATGCCCAGCACTGCACAACCATTCACTTCATGAATCAGGAAGCAGAAAGAGAGAAGTTGACCAGGTCCCACAATCCCCTTTAAGGTCATACCTGAAGTGACTTAAGGCTCCCCTGAACAAGGTTGGACCACCTTTCAGTAACACCACTCTGGGGATCAAGTCTTTAATGCATGGATATCCAGACCACAGCACTCTATTCCAATCATTCAACAGCTCACAGAGTATCCTCAACAAAGCAAAGATATCAATAGATGTGGCTCCTGCTCTCCAAGTTCACATTTTAATAGGAGTCCTAGGGTGATGAGCACCAAAACAATCAGCAATAATAAAAGCAACTTATATGGCTTTTCCGTATAAAACGATTATTTAGAAGATGGCGCTTAAAAGCAAGCTTATTTATTTATTTATATTTGTAGATGGACACAATACCTTTATCATTTTATTACTTTTATGTGGTGCTCAGGATTGAAATCAGGGCCTCACATGTGCTAGGCAAGTGCTCTACCACTGAGCCACAACCCCAGCCCACAAGTTTGTTGAATGACAATTTTTGTAGACTAAGTCTAAGCTTTAAAATTTGGGGTGCTTAATTAAAACATACCAAAAAGAATGTAATTTTCTATTAGATGCTGATGGGATCCTTTTTAAAAACTACTAACTAAGATCTCAGTTACCATCACATTCCTGAAATTTCTTCAGTACATGGTGAGAACCAAGACCTCAGCTTTGGGATAAACGACCCAGATGCCTGTTTGCACCTGTCCTCAAAAAAATCAGCTTCTAGCAGTCGGTGGCTTCCCCAGGGAACCGTCGTCTCCATAACCAACCTAGACTAACACCCAGCACATATACCCCATGCTTCTTAACAAGGCCTTTGGGATCACTTATTGAAGAAAAAAAAAAATTGTTAACCTACATTGTTCTCAACCAAAGGTTAATTTGAATGCTATCTGAAATATAAGCATTTATCATATTAATTAAAAGAATAGTCCAGTGGGTAAAACTTTATGGGCTTCACTATCAAAGAGACAGCATAATTATAACAATAATAATAAAAGAAGATTTTGAATTCTCACTATATATTTCCACAAGTGTTGGCCCAGGCATTTCTCAGAGGCCTGTGGTAGGGGGCACCGTTCTACCCATTTTAAAAATGAGCCAACTGAGGATTTTCTGGCTCTTTGGTAAAAACTCTTCCTGGAAATGAATTCTTCTAAAGTCCCTGCTTCAAAGAGGCTTCTGGCGTCCCCTCCACCATCACTATCAGATCCCCAAGTCATGACTGAGGCTGGTAATGGATACGGCTTAGGGCTAAGCCCTGACATTTGCTAAAAACCCACTTAGTACACGACTCCCAACAATTGGCTATCTTTAGCACTTATTTGTTTTGTTGGATTTTTTTTTTTTTCTTTTGACCTCTATCAACTTCTAAATGACAGAGTGATCATTTGGGACTTTGTATTTATTTTATTGACACTGTCTATTTTTTTTTCCATTTTCCCAAATCACTATAGAGTTCTTGCTTAGTAAGAAAAACAAAAGAAGAGGGGGGGAAAAAGAGTCAGAGTCTTCAAGGGTCTTGGATACCTAAAAAGTTAAGGTGGTGAAAAGTTAAGATTGAAAATCTGTTTTCTTCTGAGATACTGGAGGTAAATAATGGTACCATATGTTTATTGTTTATAGACCTACCTTACAAAATTGCTCATTTTACAGCTACATTATACCATTTATATTTCAGTTGGTCATTCCACAGACAGGAAAAAATACAATACACTATCAGAAGAATATATTCATATGAGAAACATATAACACCCTTAATTAAATTCCATATGATAAAATTAGTTTTAAAATAAAAAGACCTAATAGATAATGGGAAAAAGAAAGCACACTCCTAATTTTGAGAAAAATTATTTTCTTCTTCCATATCATCCTGAGATACCTATACTGCTTCTTTATTTTATTTTTAGTAATTCAAGTTAATACTATAAAAGGAAATTTTATATTTGTGTCTGTGCCCAGTATCCAATGCATTGGCATGAGATGAGAATTTTGGAACTTGTCTAGTCCCCTTTCTTTCTTGTCTCTTGTGGGGGAGGTCCCTGTCCATCCCAGACCCCCAGATAGGGTTGAGCCTTCCTTCTGACCCCTGCTCTAGTCCCTGCATCCAGGATCACTCTATAGTCTCATCCATCACTTCCTCTGCGAGTACCATATTCTCTGGAACCCCTCTTCCTGGTCAATGCATGCAAGCACATCCATTATTTATTTCCTTCCTTCCTTCCTTCCTTTCTTTTTGGCAGGGGTGAGTACCAGGCATTGAACTCAGGGGCACTAAACCACTCACTGAGCTACACCCTCAGCCCTATTTTGTATTTTATTTAGAGACAAGGTCTCACTGAGTTGCTTCCTCACTTTTGCTGAGGCTGGCTTTGAACTCGAGATCCTCCTGCCTCAGCCTCTTGAGACACTAGGATTATAGTCATGCACTACCACGCCTGGCTGTATCATTTATTTTCTATACAGTCCCTTCAATGTCTCTCCTACCTAAAGCCTGGTTGTCACCTATAATCAGTAGCCCTAGCTGCCTTCACATAAGCACATATATTATACACACCATGTACACATCAGCGAGCTCTCAATTTGCAAATCCTGAAAAGGGGAAGAACTAGATTTTTTAAAATTCATGATATATATCATGATCAATAAGAATGGCATTCTTGATCAATAAGAATGGCATTTCCATTGAATCTAAGATGTCTTAGATGATCCATAAAAATGCTTTGCCTATTGTGATTGCTTATTGGACATTAGCTAAACGAACGCATGCGTGCAGGAAAGAATATTTACTCTTTATTACACGAAGTTCACGATCTAAGCTACATAGACACTGATGAAACATGCATAGATAGAAAGAATAGGAGGTTAACTAAAAAGAAGGGGCCATGTGTGCACAGAGGGTCAGCTTACCACGTGAAGGCTCTCGTGGAAATACAGACTCACATCATAGAAGTTTCCATTATGCCTAACTGCATGTGTTCTGGTCTTCAGCTCCTCTGTTGGACACCACTGCAAGGCACAGCCCCCCGGTCGGCCAAGCAGGGACACTTTGAGGAGGTAAGAGCCTTGTGGAGCCTTGTCCTTGAGACCCCTGATGCATTTGATCTGTATTTGAAGAGGCTGAGGTGCCTGAGTCTGCTGCACCTACATAAAAGGTGGAGTTCTTGAATTACACAGGAACTGGGTAAAACCACACAATTAGCAACAATGGGCTTCTCAGGGGGGGAAAAAGTAGACAATTATTTTTACTCAACCTGTAATTGTCAGGTATTAGCAACGATAACAGACGAGGATGCATGATGTATAATTAAGAGGTCAAAAGGCAAAATTGCTGAAGGTGGGAGGGAAAGTTTAGCCAGTTTTTAAGCATGGTATGTTAATGATCTGTGACATCAGAAACCATTCATCTCTTATAATAAGATGGAATTAACAGGAAACCAACACTTCTAAAAACCACACAGCATGCCTTCCAGATATTGGGGATGGGCGAACCTGGGCAGCAAGCTTCAAACTGGGAACCCGAAAGGTGACACCCCTGGCCTGCAGCACTAATCACAGACCATAATGCCATGGGATAAGGAAAGTGCAGACTAACACCTCACCTGATGGAGTACTCTGTACTTTCAACACCAGGTCAACATGCCCCTAGGCTGCCAAGAACAGTCCAGAAAGAAAAGGAGAAATGGCACATGGATATGCTTTACCCTAAAAGTCAGCACAGATTGCCTGGGTCTGAGGCACACAATTTAATATTTTACAGCACATTTGGATTTCCATTGTTCACCCACAGCTGAGAGTAGACCACTTTCGTTTTTAATCCACGTCCCCAACTGTATACAAACTAATGATTTTTAATAAACTCTTGTTTCAGATTAAATAAATATCAAACTGGGATTATTCATCACTCAAATGTCATTAAGTCATGCTTTTATACTCACAAGTCCCAAATCATTTTTGGAATAATTTGACCTCAAAGAATTCTCTGGGTTTTTTTGTGCTTTAATAAAAATTTAAAAATTAAAAAAATAATAATAATAACATCAGGTTTGGAAGCAAGCTACTCTCTTGGCCATTCCAGTTAGTAGAATCACCAGTTAATCTGTAGTAAACAGGAAGTGTCTTTTAATCCAGTCTAGACTATTTGCTGAAATAAAATATATTTCCATATAGAGACGATGCTGCTGGAATTGAATCACAATTAAACAAACGGTGAAAGTTGTTCAACTTCTTTTGTGTTTTTTTTTTCCTACAAGTCGTACTTAAAAACTAATCGGAATAACAATTATTTTTGGTTTAATTAGAAAGCCTTAATTAACAACAAGGACTTAACCTTCGTATTTGGGTTTCCAAAAATATTTTAAAAATTAACACCATGTGAATAAATAAGACAATCTTTTTAAACCTCAAGGCAGGATTACCGATGCAAGCAGACGGAGTTATTAAACACATTCTAAATTAAACGCCTCTATGAATTTTATACTGAAATACATTGTGATAGTTTTGCATGCCAAATGTGACATTTTGTGTTTTAGATTCATCTTCTGTAGTCATTTTGGAAATGTCATACAAACAAAGATTTTTGTCATTTACCAATGGAATTACTATGCATGGCCGCTTAGCCATCTCTTTGCTGGCTCTAGTGGTTGTTTCAAGTCAGCAAGCCATAAAAAATCTTTATCTCTCTGAAACACAGCAATTTGGAAGATAATTGAATGGTGACTAGGGGGCAGAAATGCCAGTCTGAGGAATTATACCACACTCTCTCTTGCATTTACAACGTTCCTCAAAGCGCGTGTCAGAGAAGTAGGAGAGGGAGACGGAAGATTCGTCAAATCTCAAGGCTTGTCTCATTTGCATAGAGCTAGCCCTGCCTCCTGGACAGCAGGGACTCAGGCTGGTCTTGAGGACTTTTAGTCATTCTATTTTAGCATGGGATTCTCATCAGATATATTTATTAAGACCTGTTAAAACCGTTTTCCCTCAAGAGTCCTACAGGAGGAAGGGAGAAAAGGCAAGTGGATCAATACCATTGATCTCATCATTTAACATTTTGCATCAGGAAAAAAGTCAGTTCCCAGGAGCCTCACCTGCCAGCAAGATCCTGCTGCTCCCTGGGAATCATTAGTTACTTCTGTGAGGGAGCCGAGCTTGGCCACATTGTCCCTTTTACCAATGGGTAAGTCTGCAGTGATCGGTGGAGCTCTGGGGCTATGATAGGAGAGAGGGAAGAAGAGAGAGAAATTGACTGTAGGGCATAAAGAGAAGGCTGGCCTTTGGAACCACAGCACAACCGGGTGTCTTCCTTAGACAGGTTGGCAGATTATCTAGGACTTAGATAAACACCACGTTACAGGAACTGCAGTTGATTAAAGTCAGGAAAGAAGTAGCTTTTGAAGTATGGCCCCATAAAATATAAGACTCACTATATTAGCCACCAATCTCCCAACAGTTAAAATGCCACTTGTTTCAGAAACTATCAGGAGATCAAATGCAGTCATGCCTCCTCTGTGTCTGCGAGGGACTGGTTCCCAGAGCCCCCAAGGATATCAAAATCCACAGAGGTTCAAGTGCCCTATACAAAATGGCATAGTGTTTTCATAACTCCTCCCCAACATCCTTCTTTAAAGAATCTCCTGTTACTTATGATGCCTAATACAATATAAATAACATAAACAAATGTAGATAATTATTTTACTATATTTCTTTAGGGAAAATGACAAAAGTCCCCACATGTCTAGTATCTACCATCACAGGCCTAACCACATTCAGTCCACAATTGGAACTATGGGAACGAAATCAGTAAATACAGAGGGTCAACAGTGTTGATAAGGGGTTTTTTGCCCCTTTCTTTTATACCCCTTCCTCTCTTCTTAAGTTATTAGAGAACTTGGAGAGAAAAAAAAATTCATTTAAATAGATGACTTGCTGATATGACATAAACTTTTCTAACACAATGACCAGAGATCAGGATCCATTTCCCCCCTCAACCCCCCCCCCCCCCCCCCCAATCTTTTCACCCTGTTAACATTTACCCACTTTACTGCACGTTCTTCTTTATGGTTGGCTGTATTTTTTTAAAATTTATTTATGTAGCTCCTTAAATCCTGACAGCATTTGCCTACTTCCCCAAACTCATTTGAATTAAGGCTCTTGTATCTCATGTCTCCTAACTCAAGCTCAATACCATCACCAGGACCATCTGTGACAATGACTGTACCCCCACCGGAGGAATAGCCTTTTGGGGTCTCACTGCTGATTTAGTTCCCTATGATACAAATGATTTCCCTTAATTTGATTAGAGCTACATTGACACAAGGGTTCATTAGGACACCCATTTGCTGGCAATTCAATTTCAAATTAAATACACTTTGTTGTAAATTTTATTACTTTTAAACTACTGTATCTATTGTCTTTAATGGCCCTATTATACAGTTATGAAGGTAAACAGATTCCATTAGTAAACATCCAACCTTTTATTTTCACCACAGTGAGATGATTTCCTCAGTTTCTTTCTTTGTTCCCCTGGCAAGTATTAGAAGGCATTCAGAAATAGACTAAAATCTTAACGTCAATAATTGGATACTACATTCCAAAGCATAATCTGAAAGGAAAATTAAAAAAAAAAAAAAAGAAAACACAGTTCCTAGTTACAATCCTACTTTTTTGTAATTGAAGTTTTTTCTGAAATTAACTTCCCAGTAGAATGAGTTGGACATAACTTTTCTATGTTTTATATGTGAATACACAACCAGTGTAACTGGACATCATGTACAACCCCCAAAATGGGAAGTTATACTCCATAATATGTATGATATGTCAAAATACATTATAATGTTGTTTATAACTAAAAAAGAACAAATACAAAATCAAAAAAACACAAAAAATAAAATCACCTTCTTTAAAAAGGGACATAATGAAACTTAAAAGGTCAAGATACACCTTTAACATGATACCAGGTATCTAGAGACAATCTAGTAATGTGAGTTCCCTTAAAGCAATCATATTCTAAGTCAGGAATCAGGAACAGGCTGCAGGTCACATTCTCAGTAGGTCCTAAGGCAGATTATTCTCCTTGTTTTCCCCTCTTACCAAGCACTTATTAATTTTATGATCACATAAGTAAGGTTGTCTGCCAGCATCCACTGGGGATTGGTTCCTGGACCCCTGTTGGGTATCAAAATCTATGGATCCTCAAGTTTCTTATATAAAATGGTGCAGTATTTGCATATAACTTTCTCACATCCCCTCATATACTTCAAATCATCTCTAGATGATGGATAATACCTAACATAATATAAATTTTATGGGAATGGTTGTTACACTGTATTGTTTAGAGAGTAATGACAAGATTTAAAGTCTGTACAGGTTCAGTACAGATAGTTTCCAACTATTTTCTATCTGAGGTTGGTTGAATCCATTACTGTGGAAACTGAATTCAGAGGGCTGTCTGTCTATGCATAGATGTTTGTACATTATAAAATTGTCCATTAGTCTACAGTCCAGATATAACCACCGATAAAAATATTGATTTCTTCTGTTCTTCATGCCCAGTTAGCTAGTCATATTTTTTTAATACAAAGTGAGACAGATGCTCTAAATATTGTTTTGTAACCTGTATTTTCTACTTTGTATATTATAGGCATTCTTTTCTTCTACAACATAATTTTTTAGGTATTGCCTAGTATTTAATTCCAAGGGTCTACCATAATTCATTTAAATGATCCCTTATTGTTGGATATTTAGGTTAGTTCCTATTTCCAATATTTTAAGTTAGCCTGTAATTAGCTCTATCACATATAAAAGCTTGTAGACCTCCCTGGCCATTTTCTTAGTACGTCCTATCATTACCAGTGTTGGGCATGGGAGGTATACTGTTCTACCCGTCACCTATCTTTACATCATGTGTTGAAACGATGTACGATCCTGTCTTCATGGCCCAGACTCTCAGACATTAAGTAGTCTCACAGAGAGACAGGTTTCACTCACTCTGGTTGATTTCTTATTTGCACTGCTAATAGGAATAAAAGTTAAAGAAAATGGCAAAGAATAAACAGCAAAGATGTGCAGCAGGGGTTTTCAACCTCAGCACTATTGACATTTTGAACCAGATACGTCTTTGTCGTGGGGGGCTGCCCTGGGCATCACAGGATGTTTAGCAGGATCCCTGGCCTCTGTCCACTAGATACCACTAGCTCCCCCACCCACTCCTACTCCTGACAACCAAACATGCCATTAGACATTGCCAAATGTCCCCTGGGGGCAAAATCAATCCCTCCCAAAAGCCACTGATGTGCAGTATTGAGTCACATCTGTTGAGCATGTGGCATGCTCAAGGCTACTCTCAAATACAGTGTTTCTATCTCACTCAACCCTCACAATAATCCAGGTATTATTGTTCCTGCTTTACTGAGTGACTCTGAGGAGTGTTGACCCTCTTGGGCAAGGTCACAAGGTAGAGGGGGTAAAGCCTAAGATTCAAGGTGAGACCATCCAACCTGAGAACTGCCGGGAACCACACCTGTTACCACCACTTGAGGGAGAAGTGCCTGCAATATCCCAAACCTGCAAGTTTCTACCCTGGTCCAAGGCCTTAGGTCCTTTCCAAGAGATACAGAAAACATGGTTCAGCTATGAAGGGAAAGTGAGGAACGAGAGATGGGTAAGCAAGAAATGAAAGACAGAGACCAGGCAGAGATACACAGGGGAGTTCATTTGTCAGAGCTGACGAGTAAAGGCCATCTCTCTATAGGAGAGAGAGGCAAAACAGGCTTGAGTTCTGGGACTTTCATGGGGGGAGTTTCAGAAATCAGAGCTGGGCAGGTCCTAATGCTGGTTGGGTTGGTATGACGGAGTGGGGAGCCTTTCTCAGACAGGCCCTTGGGAGGGAAAGTGAAACTTTTTCCTTAAAATGATGTCTGTCATTTAAGATGGCCGAACAGATGCTAAGCAGGGACCTTAGAAGCTACACCACCATGGCTAGAATGTCTCATCCAGAACCATCATATGGACAAAGGGGCACAGATACATCACAGGATGAAATGGGGTCACTGTTCCCAAAAACCTCAGGGTGATTCACACTGGGGCACCTAGTGCACCTTTAATCCACAGCCGCCAACACACACACACACACACACACACACACACACAGAGACAAAATAAAACACATTAAATCTAATATGAAGAAACATACTTCCGAAATGTTTTATCAGTCTTTAAACATGACACAGGAATATGCTGGTGGAGTCCTTCCCCATCAAATTTCCATTCCTGCATGAAGAAAAACAAAAACAGAAAAGAAATAAAATTGTTGTTTAGTTGAAACATCTACACGTAAGTCCACTTTCCTAAGACCAGGATATGCTGCCCCTCAAAGGCTGTAGTTCCCGGAGACAAAGAACCCTGGAATTCGACCTTTAGTAGCCACCTTCCTATGGTAAGCAGCTTCCTCACTTGCTTAGTGACTTTCTCCAGGGAAGTAGAGGGAAATCAAAACAATATAACAAGGAGGAAAAATGCAAAGTGGACACCAGCACGGCTTCTGTGTCCCTTTTGATTTCTCTCTGTCCCCACCACCCACCTTCCATACATGCCTTGCACACACACATGCTCAATGGATGTACGGCTGGACATGTAGCATGCTAGGGTTGCAAACAATAATTTTAACCATCCAATTTATCATCCATTTCAGGACATTTAAGGAGTAAAAGGGAAAATTTAATTATGTGAGGACGGTAAGCAAAATCTAGGGCTATCCTGTGTAAACTGTAATGTACAGAAACCCTGTTTAAAATCTGTTTCTAATACTAATAATAGTATTCCTGCTGAAAAACCAGCCTCTACCTCAGAGCAAAGCCTGTCCAAGGAAGGGACATGACCTTTGTCCTTGGAAAGACCCACAGAGCACTCCTAGGCACATTCCCACCCTGTTAAGTGGTTTATCTACAAATAACAGGAGAGATCTGCTGCACCAGGTGTCCCTGACTCAGTCAGGCTAGGTGGGGACCCATAGCAACCCCCTAGCAGCCACCAATCAGCATGAGACAGAGAAATACCTGGAATGCCAGATGACCCTCCCAGTTGTTTATGGTGGTTGATAACATGTTGGGAAACCATGTAGTTCAGCACAAACACCCCTCTTGGTTTAAACCAATCAGTTCAAATGAATCCCCCTCTTGTACTAACCAATCACCCCTAACCAACTTGTTCCCGCCAGTGAATGTGCTAATCATGTTTTAGAGTTGTTTTATATGATTTTCCCGCAGTGTGTAATGATTTGCTAAGAGATGCTATGATGTATGTGAAGTCCCTGCCTTCCCCAAAGAGTGTATAAAACTGCTGCAAACCCTGGGCTCAGGGCCTCTCAGTGTCACATTTGCTGTGTGCGTGGAGGACCGAGCTAGCTTGCAATAAACACCTCTTTGCTGCTTACATCGATCTCGGTCTCTGGTGGTCTTTGGGGGGTCCTGAATTCGAGCATAACAGGTGTTGCCAAAAGCTTGGTCCTTGTCCCCTATGCCAGTCCACTAATGAGGACACAGTTTTTCTCAAAAGAAAAAATAGTTATTGCTTTGCTAGCAAAAGAGAAACACAGGGGACTCCTGTCCCAACGGCTGTGTTCTGGCCATCAAGAGGAGCAGGGGGGCTTTTGAAGAGGGATTCAAAGGCTGCATTCCACATGCTCTGGGTTGGAGCTGTCATTCACTTGTTAATTTGGGAGACAGTCATTTCTGAGATCTTCTGGTGCCATCCCCAAAGTCTGGATGACTTCCTCTTATGGTGGCTGTGTGCTCAAGGACAGATAACTCTGCCTAGGATGGGGAAGAAAGGGAATCCTGTTTCCCCTGAGATTAGGGAGGTGCTGGGAGAGAGGAAAAGAAAGAAACATGTCCATTTTAAAATTAAGTTTCAGTGGCAGAGCATTAAGGGCTACATTCAAAGCATAAAGAGGATCGATATTAAGTAGGCAAACATTAACATATTCAGTGAAGGTAAAAGAGAGAGAGATTAGAGGGAACTCAAGAGCTGAACTCTTTAATACTTAATTTCCAAATGCACACATGCACACCATCACTTCTGCTTTTGGTCTCACAGATCAACCCTGGTACCTCACAGAGGGAACTAGACAAAGGTGTGAATAATCAGAGGCTAGGATCATAGGTCCAAAGAGCCATGTTGAACCTTCTTGGTGAAGTCTCAAAATCTCGGACTAACTCCCGGGGCTCTTAACCCTGCCCTCTGGACTCCTGGTTCCATTCTCTGAACCCAACACCTTTTTTCCTAACAGTAGCTCACCTTTGCAGCTAAGTGTAACAGTGGCCCACTTTATGTTTTGAATTTAGCCCTTGCTGCTCTGCCACTGGGACTGATTTTTAAAATGGACATGTTTCTGCTCCTCCCTGATCTCTCCCCCTCCCTAATCTCAGGGGAAAGAGGATTACCTTTCTTCCCCATCCTACCCAGATTTATCTGTCCTCAAGTACATACCCACCATAGGAATGAAGTAATCCAGAATTGACTATCTCCCAAATTAACAAGTGAATTACAACTCCAACAGAGAACACATAGAGTATAGCTTTTGAATCACCTCTTTAAAAGCCCCCTGTTCCTGCTGATGGGGGCAGAATCATGGCCTCTGGGACAGGAGTCCCCTGTGTTTCTCCTTTGCTAGCAAAGCAATGAACCTTCTTTTTCCTTTTTCTCAAAACCGTGTCCTTGTTATTGGATGGACATCCTGGGACAGGACCAAGGATCCAGCCTGCTTCCTGTCATTAGAATTTAGGGACCCAAAGACTTCTCTTCATTTTGCTCTATTCCTTTTGTAACCAAAAGCTCGGTCTTTGACCTCAACGCCAATCCAATAATGAAGACAAGGTCGTGAGGAAAAGGAAAAAGAAGGTCGACTGCTTTTCTAGCAAAGGAAAAACACAGGGGACTCCTGACCCAAAGGCTGTGATTCTGCTCATCCTGGGGAACAGGGGCGTTTTAAGGGAGGTGGCTCAAAGAAAATGAGATTATGGAGAAGTTTAAGGAAAAAAAGATCAGGAAGAAGTTTAGAGAGAAGGTTTAGGAGGAAAAAAAAAAAAAAACCATGTAGTCAAAGCATCAAGTGAACCCCTTTTACACTTTCAGTCAAATCAGTTGATTTTTCTGTTTATATAATTACTTTTAAATCCTTGTGAGTCTTCTGTGAATCTTATTGGAGTTCACTTTATTACATGAAAGTCAAAACCACAAATCTCTTCCAAATAAGACCTGCTCTACCACGGCTTCCACTGACAGGATGAGGGGCTATGCCCTTGAGCTTCATAGAAATTCACTGTGTGATTGACAGGAACCGAGAGGCACACCCTTAATCTGTTCAGCGTGCCTTTTGTCTAGGTGAATAGTGTTTTGAGCCACTGCCTTTGATATTTCTGACGTCTTAACAAAAGATTTGACTATGACACTCCTGGCTTCATCCTTGAATCACATTTTCCTGGCATCGGATCTTTGTTCAGAAGCCATTTCTTCGTTTCTTCTGTTGTTTACCATCCGGGAGGCTGAGAATTTTCAGAACCATCAAGCCATGACTCATTTGGCTTCACAGTCCTTCCTTCCTTGAGTTTATTTCTCTCACCTCACATTTTACCATAATCAGTAAGAATGCAACAGGAAGCACCTATAATCCTCAGGCCGGGAATCTCCTCAGCTAGATTATCCGGTGCATTAGGTCCCTTGTCTCTGTAACTACAGGCAACACATAAACTCTCTCATGCTCATGAGAGAGACTCCTTCCTCCATTTTGCAATGGGATCTTACTTTCTTACGCCCTCAGCCTACTTCTCAAGGACTATCAGCATTCTGGAAGTATCTTCTTCAAGGCACTCTATGCCTTCGATAACACTCTCCTTTAAAAATTCTCTGTGTGTTTTCAGTCTCATTCATGACTTGTGTTTGGGTGGGGCAATACTCCACTTCTAGGTACCAAATTCTGTAACTGGGCCCTAGTTATCCACATGGGACACATTCCAAGACCTTCCAATGGATGATGGAAAGCTCAGATTTTTTCTTTTTCTTATACAAACATAGAGTTTAATTTATAAATTAGGCACAGAAAGAGATCAATAATAACTAATAATAAGCTAAAACAATTATATCAGTATACTGTGATAAAAGTTATTTAAATGTGCTCTTTCTCTTCTAGAATTTTCCATGTAGTGTTTTGGGATCACAAGTTGATCTCAGATAACTGCCATCACAGAAGCTGAAATTGTGTATGAGGCGAGATGACTGTTGTTATTGTTTTATATCCAATTATCCCACAACTTGGAAATGTAATAACAAACATTTACTCTCACACGATTTCTGAGAATCAGAAATCCAGGAGCAAATCTGAGTTTTCTTTGCTCACGGTCTCTCTTGAGACTGCAATCATTTTACCCGAGGAGGTAACACCTGGTGGAGACCAGAGCTGCTGGTCACCAGAGCTGTTGGTCCAGCTCTTATAGGGCATGACTGGTCCTTCACATCCTCATCAGAAATCGCCTTCTAGAGGTTAGGCTCACTGTGTGAATTTCTTTATTCTCCCACTCACGTTGCCCCCTATATTTTCTGTTACATGCCTATAACCCATCTCCTTGTGAAAACAAGGCTGAGATCAATAGAAGTCTATGGTCCTTCAGAAATAAATAGAAAAGGCTAGACAGGAAAACCTTATTAAATCCTATGAAATTTCTCTTTGTACCATCCACCTTATAAAACTTACCAAACAGGACCATCATGGTTTACAAAGAAAATGTAAGCCTAAAGTCTAAAGCCAGCTATCTTCAAATCCTGTCAGGTATTTGAGAAGCATCTGTTGTTTATTAAACTGATAATTAGTAAACTAATAATAATTCTTCTTTTATATAAAAATTTATTTTTGAATATTTTGCAAGCCAGAATTTCCGTCACATTTTATTAGTCTGAATTAAATGATGACTTGCTATAACTGTGAATATACAAGGAATGATTTGTCAAAAAAAGAAAAAAACTTTTAGTAAAATTACTGAAAAATCAAAAATTAAGATACTAAGCCAGACACGTTGGCATGTCAAGTGCCTGTAATCCCAAGGCCCTGGGAGGTTGAAGCAGGAGGATCGTGAATGCAAAGCCAACCGCAGCAACTTAGCAAAGTACTGAGTAACTCAGTGAGACCCTGTCTCTAGATAAAATATTAAAAAAGGACTGAGGATGTGGTTAAGTGCCCCTGGATTCAATTCCAGGTACCAAAAAATAATAATATTCTA